TTCCGATCTCCCCAAAACCCCAAAACCCCAAAACCCCATTCGCTAGATCGATACAAATTCAGAGGTAAAATATCTTGAAATCTGAATATACATCTAAAAAAGGCTTACGTTAATAAAACTTTTAATAAAAAGATAATTCAAATGCTATTATAAATATGCATCATAATATTTGTGTCTTTTATTGAATCAGATGCGAAATGTAATATTTATCTTTTACTCTGATAGGTCTCAACAGTGATGAATATTACAATTCCAAGACAAATGAATGCTTGAGTAAAAATTGAGATATTTTTATTGATATTTTAGAATGTAGTGAAGTCATTCGTGGTTGCAATGAATGTTCAGAAAAATTTGACGATTATGCCTAAGATTTCTACACTAAATGCAATTAATGTCAAGATAATTTCTTCTTGGCATTCTGAGACTTTGAATCGATAGATGGGCATTCTATTGACTAAACTTACTGCATTAGTGATTGCAAATTGGCTCAATCATTTTAAATAGGAGATCCCTCATCAGGAATTTGTTTAAGTAATGATACTCTCTAGCATTAATTTAAAATAGATTGTGGTCATCACTGCAATTAATGCAGCCTGAAATATGGCTGTGAATATTGTGATCCATTTGCAGATAATAATAGTTGGGTTATTTCCAAGATTCCACTTTCTTTAGCAGATGATTCAACTACTATATATTCAGAAAAATATGATGAATTCAGGAAATGTCAAAGTAAATTTGTTGTATCAAAAGTTAAATTTAGGCTGCCATAACTTACAATATTGCTAAGAATGCTCTGTCATTCAGCCCTAAAACTGTACTTAATGCCCCAACCTCAAATATACAAATTAGAGTTGCTGTAAGATTCTGATATATAACTGTTGTAGAATTAAGATCAGAATCAAGCAAAAGCGTTGAATAAAATTGTTTGCACTTTGATCCAGGGGATAATCTAAATTGTTTGATTTGCTAAGATGGGTTCTTTATATCATAAAATATGCATTATAGTGATTCTACAGGAATGTACTATGTTGGCTGCAAAAAATGTAAATTTTCAACAATTGAATTTAATAAGAAATTATTAGATTAAGGATTAGGGACATGCTTAGTCCCTATTAATGAATACGAATGCAAGTTATGCATTGAAGGATAGTCATTGATTAGTGATAATCTAAAGCAATGTGGAGGTAATAATCTAAATCTTAAATTCTCATCTTAAATACTTTAGATTGCAACAAAAATTTATATGTTAAAAGCATTTCTAGGTGCACTTTCAAAGCAGAAGAAGAATAAAATTTAATGATTTCAACTATAGTTGCCTGCATAAATGGATATGTTAAGGATAATCTATGTGTTTCTAATTGTGGGATGGGATATTTTGGGAAGTCTATTTTTAATGAAAGAGGCTAGTTAGAGTAGTCAATATGTCTATAATGCTCAGAATAATGTTTTGAATGTATAGACTAAAATTATTGTATATCATGTAAGAAAGGCCATTACTTAGAGACAGAAACAAATAAAACATACGGCTAGTGTTTAACAAAGATTGAGGAAGAATTCGAAACTAAAATCTATGTCAACTCTTATATGCAATTGAAATAACTCTCAGATGAAGAGATTGGTTCATATAATAATGCTATGCATAATATCTAAGATGCGATATCAAGAGCCTAAGAATTAGGGGCAAAGTACATAAATGCAACAGTACATATTATTTTGAAATCAAATGAAAATTAAAATCATGCTATGCTAAGATCTGTAATGAATTTCTATCATCCGAAACTATATGATTAATACTAGCAGTCTACTAAAATCATAATAGATACTGAAGATGAAAAACCACAATTAGTTTTATACAAAATGAGAGACAAATGGAAGTTTAATGTTGGAGGTGGTTTAACTATCAGAAATATCGTGTTTGATGCAGCAGATTCATATTTAACTCCTGATTAAGATTAAGGTTACTGTCTTTAAAACGGCCTATTCAGCTGCTGTGGAAGTACTTAATGCTTCTAAGATTAATATGTGTAAGAATATTTATTAAGACACTTCATATTTAGCATTGAATATTGTGAAATTCCAAGTTTCGGTTAGTTCATCAATTTTGATTCTAGTCCAATTTCAACTCTATAAATACCTTAAACACTGATTATTTAAGTTAGATTAGTATTTTAATAACTTCAAATTATAGAATGTAGTTTTCAAGAATTTTATCTACAATTTCAACAGCTTGATTCAACTGAATGATCAGAGTGGGATAATTTAACTGGATTAGGTTACTTTTGAAAACATTAACTCATGTGGTTCAATAATTGGGAATAAAAGGCCGAAGGTCATCTATAGAGACATTAAAATAGATAGCTTTTTAACAGCTTCATAGTGGATGATAAATAATATTGAGTGGTAGGTGTAACAACAAATATCACAAGTAAATTCACTTTTTACTTATCAATAATATTAGGTTGATTCAAATACTTCATTGTAGACCTACTCACAAAATTCTTAAGATTTTGATGAGCCTTGTTTTTCCATTGTGATAACTAATTCAAGCTTCTTAAGCATCGGCTAATATAAGAAAAGCTTAACTTCCTTATATGTTAATTCGTCCACTTAGCAACAATACTATGGAAGTATTTTAGATCTTGAAGATTTCAGAGGTGATGTAATAATTACTGCAAGCAATTTCACTTAAAATTAAGTAAAATATGAAGGATGTTAAGCCTCTGAGTATATATTTTATGATTACGATCCACAATTGACCGATTAATATCCTAGTCTTGGTAATAAAAATGCAGTTAATATTCATTCTTTGATTTCGATCACTAATCATAGCCATAATTTTGAGCTAATAGATAATATCTTTGAAAAAAATAGCGGTACAAAAGGAATAATATACTTAGACATTAATAAGAATAATTAGAATAAAATACTCATAGCTTTAAACAAATTTAAATCTAATTTCGGCTTTTCAGAGTCAACTGTAATCTATATAAACCATAGAATAGATTAATTCTATAAGCTTGAATTGTTGATTTAAGACTAAAAATAAGACGGATATTGTTCAGGATTTCATTTGATTTAAAACACATTTGAATAAAATCTAGGTTGTCCGCTTTATTCAGGAGGACTTGTAAGATATTAATGTCTTGAGAAGAATTAAAAACCGCTTTAAGGAAATGAAAGCTATTAAACCCCCACTATGCCTACTATGAACTTGGATTTGATAGAATTCGAATGGATAGAGAAATAAATTAACACCTTGATGTATAAAGATAATCTCATTGAATATGATACAAGCATCAATTCTTTTAAATCAAACGTCTACTAGGAAAACTATGGTACAGGTGGAAAAGGCCTTATAAGTATTTATGCAAGTTTAAGATTGATTTTTGCTGATGAAATTTTCAATAAAAACGGTGAGTCTTGTGACGAAATCTTGAGTTCCTATCCCTTTAATTAAACCTTTAATGATTACTCATCAAACTATTTAAGCTTTGTAAAAGTGACAAATGAGTTCATTGATTAACAAAAAATATATGAAAAATAGGCTTTATTAATGAGGTCTTTATATCTTATAGAAGGTTCATCTTATGTAGAAATTGACTCAATTATTGCTTAAGAAAATTGGATGCTTGAGATCGACTTTTTAAATACGAGATCTCAAATAATTGCTCTTGATTATTTTTGGGGATAACTTTTATTTAACAAACTTTAAATTTCCAACTAATAAGGTTATCAGATAATAGCTTCACAGTTTAAGAATTTAAAAACTACTGATATAAGGCATTTTGCTTTTATTCACCCTGTAATATCTTACTCTAATAACGTTTAAGTATTGCTTTTGAGTTATTTCCTGGAAGAATTTAATTTATATTAAAGCAGATTTGCTAAAGTTAACAGCAATCCGGGTTATCCATTTTTGCTAGATCTAAATCAAAATATGCAATTTTAAACTCCAGCTCACTTGATAATAAGGAACGTCTATATTGATACATTCGATTGCATACTATGTGACAGAGCTTTGTTTAATATAAGGGCTGATAAAATTAGTTTAATTGGTGTGACAGTTAAAAATGTAGGGTCATTTTATTCATCTCCAAACTTTGACAGGTATTATGCGAATGATTGCTAATTATTCAATTTAACTTTAAATGATGCAACTAACTAAAATCAAACAGTTCCACAATTGCTTTTGTAAAACTTTCTTATAAACAGTATTTAAATGTACAAAATGAATACCTAAGTTATTAAAATAACAAGTAATAATTAATAACTTTAATAAACTGAAATAACTTAGATCATTTAATTAGAAGGCATAGTTATTCAATACATTACCTATTATAATGAAAGCTGCTTTCTGATGGTTGATGCGATTAATTTCAATCTAATAATAAATGAAATAAACATTTTGGATCTTGATAATTAAGGCGAAAAGTTTAGTAGTGGATTCATTGAAATCAAAGCACTTAAATCAATTAAAATACAGAGTTTGTAGGCTACAGGGATATTGTAAAGTTCAGTTAGCAACCTTGAAAAAGCTGCTGCTCTAATATTTGCAGAAAACCTACCAGCAGATTTTGAGTTTCAACTCTCATCATCACTAATTACCTTGGTGAAAAACGATTTCAACGGAAATGTATATTCACAGGTATAGTACCCCTTGTTTTATTTTTCAAGCTTGAATTCCACAATAAGAGCGGATTTCTTCTCTAATCAAATTTCAAATTGCTATGTAACAAATAGGGCGGCAATATATCTTTAATCTGAGATAAAAAGCACAATAAATGCCTACGATAATAGTTTTTCACAAATTAGCTCTAGGTCGAATGGAGTATTTTACTGTAAAAATTGTGAAATTCAATAATTTGAAAGCAATTAATTTCTGGATATAACTGCCGTCAACGGAGGAGTTCTATACGTTGAAAATCCTGTAGGTGAGATTATCTTGATAAATAACTTTTTGAGTGAGTTTAATAGTATTTAGAGAGGAGGATTTATTTACGTTAACGATTCTTTGAGTGAAGGAGTGCTATAAATCACATTTAGAGTTAATATAGAAAATTATTTGACTTTAAATCATGTTAATAGCTAGTTAGGAGCAATTTTATATTTTGAAACTTAGAGGTCGGTTGAAATAGAGATGGATTATGTATTGGTTAATTTCAATCGAGATTAATCAAAAGTTTAAGTGGATCAATAAGGCTACTATATTTGTGCTAATCAAACATCCACTATAGATTAACAAGTTGATGGAATAAATATATCGATAAAGATTGTAAATGCGAATTCATTTGAAAAGGGATTCATAGCTTAAGGCGCTATATTGCAAGTACTGCATCCAGTTTCAAATGTTTAAATTCTTATCTAAGACTCGTTCATCTAAAATTATGAAACATCAATAAATGGACTAAATCTTAATGGGACTTTGCTTTATGGAAAAGCGCTTAATTCTATTCAAGTGACTATCCAGAATTCAACTATATCTAGTATAACTAATTACTAAAATTCAGGAGCCTTAATGTATTTAAATGCAAAACAAATAGATGTTAAGATAATTGGCTCAAAATTTGAATACATATAGTCTAAAAGCACTGGAACATTATCAGTTTTAGTTGCTTCAGAATAAGCTAATGTATTGATAGACAATTCTGCCTTTTTGCAATTTGGTCAGGAAAGAACAGATGATGGAGGAGTATTTCTATTTGAAGGTAAAAGAGCTGAACTTATAATACTTAATCAAACTTACTTTGAAAATATTTTGTCAATGAATTAAGGAGGTATAGCATATTATGAGACAGAATAATGCAACTTAACGATAAAAGACTCACAATTCTAAAATATCTATTGGATTTCGGATGGTGGTGGTTTTGTTCATATGAAGGGACTTTACAATTAAGTATATCTGTTTAACGTGCAGCTATATTAGTATTATCAACAATAACAAATGATAGAAATAGGATAAATCTATATGGGCGGCTTGAATGAAAATTTAATCACTATTAGGCAATCTAGATTTCTAAATTTACTTCATTTATATCAAGGAGGATTGGTATATCTAAATGGGAAAATATAATAAATAGAGTTTGACCAAGTTTATATAGAAAATAATACATGGCAGGGTGAGGCTTAACCCAAATTAGGAGGAGTAATATATTCATCATATAACACTAGAAACTTCACATTAGACTGCAAAAATAGCACCTTTAAACAAGTGAGTTCTTCTTAGCATGGCTCATTTTTATACATAGATCCATTAGCCTAACCTTAAATTGATATAAACTTGGTGGGAAATTACTTCTAGATTGCATAGCTTGACGAAGGATACGAGAATTACTATATTTATATGAAGATTTTAAATTTCAATCTTTTATTTGCAAATGGATACTTAGTTGGAGGATTGTTCTACATTTAAAATGGTTAAGGATCTCTATATACTGAGGAGAATTAGTTTTAAGCCATTTTAGCAACAAAGCTTGCCTCTGTATATTATTTACCCTAAAACTTCTAAATAAATGATAAGAAATCTTTCTATGTCTAGTGTGAAGGAGAATATGGAATTTTCTTCTGCAATAATTGTTCTTTAGTATTAGAGGAGATTACAGTAATTAATTGGTAAGGAAAAATGGGAGCATTAATCACTATGATAGACTAGGCAAATGTGCTTATATATAATTCTATACTAAAGTTTGGGCAAGTGAGAAATAAAGGATCAATATTTGCAAATGGAACTGGTAACTCTTAGTTAAAAATAATTAGCACGATTATCAATCAAGTCGAATCCTAGGGAGATGGAAGCTTGATTTTCGCTGATAATCCAGATTTGAGCATATCAATAGACAATGTAACTTTTATATAAATCTTAGCAGCTCAATTTGGAAGTATCATCTATGCATAATAGGCTAAAAATATAAAAATATCGAATTCCACTGCCACATTGCCATTTTTAGGAACTACATAAGGCAATATGATTTACAGTAGGCATAAAAACATTACTATTTAGCTTGATAACAACTATTTTGAAGGTCAACAAGAGCAAAATTATGGATAAATAAAGTACTAATTTGAAATAGGTACAGGCACGCTTATGGTATCATAAATAAATATAGCTAATGCTAAGGGTATTTATTCGTAAAACAATACTTTCAAGAATTTTTATTATGCGTTTTCAGGAAGTATATATTCGATTCAGGATACACAGGAATTTATTGATCAAGGATCCAGTTATATATTCTAAGCAGGTATAAGAGGAGGTGTTTTTGAAATGATGAATATCACTCAGATTTTACTATAAGATTCAATTTTTGAAAATTCTACAGCAGATAGAGGTGGAATTTTCTACATGAGCGACAATTTTAATACAAGCATTATGAATTGCTCATTTAAAGATGTCATAGTTAGTCAAGATGGAGGTCTCATGTATGCAACTAGTTTTGATCATCTTTATACTAAGTCTTTCCTTACTATTTAAGGGTAAAATTAAGAGCTTTAAAATTTCATATCTAATGGGAATGGAGCATTACTTTATATTGATGATCCAAGCTTAGAAGTGATAATGTCAGATTACAAGGCATCTAATTTTAAAGCGAGTTAATAAGGAGGACTTATCTTTGTAGAATAGGCTAATTCAGTAACATTATTAAATATAGATGTATAAGTTATCTAGGCGCTAATTAGTGGTTCAGTAATGCATTCAATCTATCCAGATGTAAAGATAAAAATTTAGAATTGCATTTTTATTCAGAGTTTTGATGATGGATATAATAAGACATAGATAAAATAAGATTTCTCAAATAGTCTATTTGATCCAACATCAGGTACAGGAGGAGCATTCTATTTCTTAAACATCATTAGCTTGATTAAGACAAGCAACGTTACAATACGAAACTTTCATAATGTATACTAAGGAGGAGTATTTTATCTAGAAAACTCTTCACTTTAAGATGCTGGCTCTAACTATCAGTAGAATTTTGCTTATTAAGGAGGGTTTGCTTATTGCAAAGACTGTTCTATTACAGTATTTTTCTCTAAATTTGATAATCAATCAGGAATATTTGGTGGTGTTATCTATTCCTAAATAAAATCTCAAATCAAATTTTATCAATCAAATTTTACAAATACATATGTGATTTATGCAGGTGGGTTCCTTTATGCCTAGAATTCTTTTCAGGAATTTGAAAATATTGAAAATTAAGACTCAGTAATTTAATTCTATGGTAATACCAAGATATCAAACTTTTAGAGTGATGGATATTCTGCAGGATTTCATTTGGAAAACCCATTTAAAATTTTTATGAATAATTCAATGATAACTTTTGAGAATATTAAATCTGTACTAGATGGAAATATCTTTTTCGTTTAAAGTGCTTGCAGAATTTATATTGATGGTATTATTGCAAGAGATATTAAATCCTCTGAAGGTCAAGGATCATTTTTATACTCAACTGATCCAGATGTAGAAATCATAATTAAAAATACTGAAATTAATTGTTAAAATAATGAATAAATAGAGATAGAAAGAGATTACTTTGCTTCGAACTAGATATTAAGAGGAAGTGCTATTTTCTTTTAATTTAGTGATATTCCATTAGTCTCAGAAAATAATAACTTTAAATACTGTGAAAATGTTTATCAAGGAGGGATATTTAAACTATCATAATCAGAATTGCAAGATTTGAATTCTAAATATAGTTATAGTTCAGCTTAGCAAGGTGGTGCTATTTACTGTTATCGATGTAGATTAAATATAACAGGTGGAAATTTCACTAACTAGCTAGCATAAGAAGGATCTGCTATATATTTAAAAGAATATGATTCATCACTGCAAAATACATTAGGTATAAATTTAAGATTCAATAATTAAGAGCAGCTCTTGTCTAAATATGATATTGAGGAAAAATGTGGAGGCACTATCACATTTTAAGAAGATTCGGATTTACTAGGAGAGCTAATTTTTTCCATTAAGGAAGTTCAAGCTAGGAATCTAACATGTGAAACTTATGGAGCATTTATTTGCAGCAATTAAGAATTTCTCACACTTGAAATTGACAACATTAATATCACATAATCAAAGGCCTAAAAATCGGGAGGCGTTATTCACTTAAGAAACATTAATAGCTTAACTATTGAGAATTCTTATTTTGTAAATTTTTAAGCTATTTTAGGCAGCTTTTTATCTACTGATTAAAATGGTGTATATGTCACTCTGAATCTCTAAAATAATACTCTTATTTAGTAAAATTATGATTTGACAGATGAAAACTGGGATTTCTTTATTGGTGATACAGCTGGAATGATGTATTTATATTGACCATGGTCAGTTAGCAGCATAAATAATAGATATTAGGATGTATCCTATGCTATTGAATGTGGAGTGTTTAATATTATCCGAGGTAACTTATATGAGGAAGGATCAATTTATTATAATTTGATGGTAGAAGGTAAAGGCGGGGCTATCTGCTTATTATTCACTGCTGCTACAATAAATAGTACCTTGTTTCATAAAATCTATGCCAATGATGGAGCTGTATTTGATGTTGACGGTATGATTAGCTAATTAAAAGTGTATCACAGCAATGTGACAGAAATATAAATATATAATACTGGAGGAATAGCTAGATACTGGCAATCAAACACAATTTTTGGAGCAAGAGTATTAGACTAGTATTTCATAAACTGTACTTTCACAGACTTTATTTCTACAAAGAGAGCTTCTGGTTTCTACATCGGTAATAGCTTGCTTGGAAAAATACATATCATTTCTTGTAATTTCACATAATTTATAGGATATGAAACTGGTATCTTTGATATAAATGGAGGGGGAGGCTCCATCTTACTATCTTCAGATTAAAAGTACGGTTAATCTGTTATAAAAGATTTTTTGCTCGAAACTAGAATTAATGAAGAGTCTTCATCTCTTTTTTATTCAAATGAAAAATCTTTTTCACTAGAGATGACTGATATTCTAATAGAGTGTTAACCTCTTGACTAAGATGATTATGTATAAGATCATACAAAAACATATGCTACAGCAATCAAAATTAAGAGGTCATTAAAAGGTGTAACTTCAAAAAGAAATATCTTTAAAAATTGTCAAAATGTTGTAGATGGCTCAATATTTTCAATTACTTCAACTTCATTGATAGATGAAGATTCAGAGTATTATAATAACTCTGCTAGTTCAGGTGGTATTCTAGCTTGCACTACTTGTACAGTCCAAATAACCAACTCTACCTTTCATGATAATAAAGCAGAGTCTGGTGGTTTGTTTATTCTATATGAAAGCTATAATATGACTTTAAACTCTGTATAGATTTGGGAGAATTATGCTACCAAAAGAGGTGGAATCTTTTTCGTTAACCAGATAATAGAACCATCAACATGGTAAAATATAATACTAATCAAGAATTGTTATGATATAAGAAGTATATATTCCTAAGAAGGTGGTTTCTTATATTCATAAAGTTCTGATCTTAATTTAACCATTATTAATTCAACTTTCTACGACATTTAAGCAACTGACGATGGTGGTCTACTTTCTTTGACTAAGGGCAAAACTTTCTATTTGAAAGATCTAAGTATTACTAGAGTTACAGCAAATTACTTTTAAGTTGTAACATCCATAGCTCTCATTAGAAATTTTACTATTGAAAATTGCCAGATTATCTGTGATTCTAACTATTAAGGAGACTCAAGTTAAGAACTCGATTAAATTAGTCCTAATTCTACTAAGTCTGGAATTTTCAGCTTTTAAAATGCATATGGAATTAGTATTTTAAAATCCAAGTTTCAGCAGTGTTCATCATCAGTTCAGGGCGGAGTGTTTAAACTTTCAAAAGTTTCATATTTTTACGATTATAATTCAAGGTATCTTATGAATTCGGCAATTTTTGGAGGGGTGATTCACTCATCATAATCAAGTGTTTCCCTTAATGAGACATATTTTAAAGATAATTAAGCAAATAGGGGTGGCTGTATTGAATTGAGTTATGATTCATACTTATTTATGAACAAAGTCAAATTTAGTAATAATATAGCATTTTCATCAGCTGGGGTTATATTTGTTTAATCAAGATCATACTTTGAGATTATTAACACTGATTTCAGTAGAAACAAAGCTAATGATAGCTCTGTAATTGAAATAATTGAAAGTTCAAAAATATTTTTCAATCTAATGAAATTTTGCACCATCGAAAATAATTTTGCACTCTCAAACTCTATCAATATTTAGAATGCCAAGTTTAAATTCGAAAAAAGTGAAATGAATAATAATTTAGCCTTGACTCGAAGCTAAAATATTTTTGCTGCTTTTTCAACTATTTAAGTAATATAATATTAATGTTCTAATAATATTAATTAGATTATTGATTCTCAATTCAGAGGTAATGGAATTCAAAACAAAGATTTATACCAAAACAGAGGATCATTTTTATTTATAAGCTTAGATGTGAAACTTTCTATTGAGAATTCTTCGTTTATGAAGGGATTTGCCTAATATGGTGGAGTTTTATATATTTCAGGAGATTCTGAGATAACTATTTCAAAAAGTACTTTTGTCGATAACTAGGCGGTTGAAAGCGGAGGAGCGATCTATGCAGATGGATTCTCATTTCTTAATATTACTAATGAATCTAAACTAATTAATAACTTGGGATTTTATGGAGATGATATCTACATTTCTAATTCAAATGGAATTTTCAGCTTAGATTAAGTTACAATAGATAATCCAAATGCCAAAGGGTCAATTGTAGTCGGTGATGCACAAGTCTATTTCTAAAATGTCTTGATGAAAAATATTGGCTTAGAGTAAAAAGTAAAATCTCAAGGAGCTGCATTAGCCTGCTTTAATTGCTTAAAAATTGAAATAATATCCTCTGTATTTGATAATCTTCATGGTTCTTTGGGAGGTGCAATATATTTAAACGAAGTGGATCTTAGGAAAACAGATAATGTTCAAGCAAAAAACTATTTTTTTAAAGACAGTATATTTAAAAATTCAGTAGCATATGCTGGTGGGGCTATTTATTTGGACAATATCAATATCCTTTTCTTAGATAACTGTACTTTTATCAATAACTAAGCAATATCAACACTAGATCAAAATTACAAGATTTATAATGGTTCTGGAGGTGCTATTTACTTTGATTGTAATTAATATGTACTAAAGTGCAGCTTTACTATCTATAACAAAAATAAATTTCAGGGAAATATTGCACATTTGTAAGGAGGGGCATTACATTGGACAAATATTGAGCCAGAATTTGGAGAAAATACTATATTTGAAAACAATCTGTCATATCTATATGGAAACAATATTTCATGTTTTGCTTAAAATATAGTCAGAATAAGCAAGAGTGATTATGACACTCTAATTTAAGCATTCAGTTCCACATAAACGAGAAGAGATTTATCAAATAATGCATAATCTATTTCTTTAAAATTAAAGGAATTTAGTAGGAACAATAATGTGCTGCAAACTGAAATTACACTAAATTATTAATAGTCTGGTGGTAAAATTGAGCCTATTTATTTAGCATTAACAGATTAGTATCGGTAGATAGTAACAGCTGATTCAACAAATAAGATTAGATTAGTCATTAATGTAACTAATACATTGAACCACAAGTATCCCCCAATTATAGAAGGAGATTCAACATTTTATTTATCATATGGATTGACTGAAATAAAAGATGTAGCTTTCGCAGGAACCCCTGGTGAATCTTATAGTATTTCTTTTTTAACTGAAGCTATCGATAAGACTAAGAAAGCCAACATTTAATACATGAATGCCAATGGAATGGATTAAATTGATTTTAAAGTTGACATCAATTTAAGAGAATGCGAAATTGGGGAACAATTTACCTCAAGTGGAAAATGTGTTGAATGTCCAAGTGGATTAAGTTTTTCACTGACTAAAATGAATGAACCTGGAAATTGTTAATTATGTCCAGATTAAAAAGCCATTTGTTATGGCGGGACTTTTATAGGACCAAAAGCAGGATATTGGAGAAAGGATAACAGTACATAGAATTTTATACGATGTTTAAATGATGAATCCTGTTTAGGAATGATATCTCCAGATTATAATCCAAAAGGAACTTGTAAATTGGGTTATCAAGGAATTTTATGCTAAGATTGTATAGTTGGATACTCAAGAGTAGAAAATAAATTATGTTCGAAATGCCCTGAGCCTCTTTTCAACATCTTGAGATTATTTGCAGTTTTCTTGCTCTCAGTAATTATTGTCATATTTTTGATAAGGTCAACATTAAATGGAGCAAGAGATAAAAGAAACATTACAAGTGTCTATCTCAAGATATTAATGAACCACTTATAAGTTATAGTGCTGACAGCATAATTTGATTTCTAATGGCCTTAGAAAATTTTAGATTTTTATAATGGCATTCGGCCTGCTGCTTAATCAACTTATCAAGTAATATCTATTGACTGTTTCCTTGATATTAGAAGTAGCTATGAAAATGACTGGATAAGAGTTTATTTTCAAAAAATTACTATACTTTCAATTTTACCTCTGCTCTTGGTTATAATTTCTATTTTTTCTTGGATAATATACTTAAAAATAAGTAGGAGCAGAGCCGAATAAACTGGCCGTATTGTTTCAACTATTATAATTCTTTTGTTTTTAGCTCACCCAAGCATAGTGTAATATATGTTTAGCAATTTTAGATGTTTGAATATTGATAGCGATTAGAGAATTGAAGATGATCTTGAAGTGATATGTTGGAGTGATTTTCACAATTTCATAAGTTATTTCATAGCATCTCCAAGTATTTTAGTTTGGGGTATTGGAATCCCGTTTTTTGCTTTGGTATTATTATTCAAACATAGATCCAGACTTGAATAGAATGGCTTAAGAGAGCGCTACGGATTTCTTTACAAAGGTTATAAAAAAGAATATTATTACTGGGAGATATTTATAATGTATAGAAAGCTCATTATTATATTCATTTCTGTCTTCTTTAAGAATCATGGTGTCATTGCCTAAGCACTTGTAGTTATGATTTTCTATATTTTCTTTATGCTTTTGACTTTTAAATTGAACCCTTTTATTAATATAACTCTCAACTAGCTAGAATCATTATCTTTACTAACATCAATGCTAACAATATATTGTGGATTATATTTTATTGCTAATATCCATTAAGATTGGCTAAAAAATGAACCTGAGCTTAAAAATTTCCTTATACTCAGCGAGGATGAAAAAATGTTTTTCTTTAGTGTTATTTTGATATCGAATTTATTATTCTTTATCCATTGGCTAAGCAAAATGTTTAAAGAATTGCAATTCAATCTAATGATCAAGCTTCCAAAGTTATATCTCTTCTTTTGTATGTTTAATGACAGCTAAAAGTTCAAGAGCAAATTGAATCAACTGAGGATTTAGGATGAAAGTGAGAATCTACATGATGAGTTCGATAGAAGTAAGCAAAATATAAAATCTTTCTTAATAAATTATAGCTTAACGGTAATTGAAAGAGCTTTATCTCAGTGGAAAACTAGTTCTTAATAAGAAATCAGTTGAAAAACTCCAACTTATTTTTAATCCTGACCAAGTCTTAAGATAACTAAAGCAGGGAGGATCTTTAGGAAATATAGATATGCTTGCCTCAGATTTAAAAGGTTCTCAAGTATAAATATAGGAAAAGTCAAAGCTCAGGAAAGAAAGGAAATTAAAAATCGCGAAAATTTTGAACGAAACTTTATTAGATAAGGAATTGCAATTTAATGAAAAAGTATAAGGAGAGAAGGAACTATCATTTTCAAGCTATTAAAAAGGTTCTAAAAAAGTTGAGAGTGATTATATCAAAAATAAATTCAATTTCTTATCTCAAGATAGAGCAAATGAAGAGACAAGATTTAATGAAATTTCCTATTTTAATAATACTAATACAGATGATAATAATCTACTAAAGAATAACTTTTCAACACCTAAAATCATTTTCTAGAAAAACTCCATTGAATTTGATACAGATTAAGAAGAAAGTAAGGAGCTTATTATTAATTAGAAAAATTCCAAAAGAGTTGGAAGAATTTAAACTCCCCATTTAGGTACACAGCAAAATCAGCAAAACTCCATTAAATATTAGAACTAATCATAGATAAGGAATTAAGATTAATTTGAGAATATTACTGAGGATGATGATACTATGAGATCTCATCTAAACCTTAATAAGTTACTGTTTAACAAGCAAAGCTAAAATGCAGCTTAAATGTCCAAACTTAACTTTTATCTTCTATAGTCATTTGAAAATCAAAGCTAGATAGTTGATGATGCACTAGAATCAATTGACTCAAATGAAGATATTTAAAAGTTCAAAAGTTGTTTAATTGAAAATAATGATGAGTAAAACATTGTAATAAAGCCTAAAAGATAAAAAACAAGAAAAGTAAAAGATTCTGTAAATGGCAAAAATTCGAATCGTTCTATTGTAAGGAATTTAACAGGTTGCGATAGTCTGGGCACTCCTAGTTAAAGATTGAGAGAACCAAATAATAAAGTTTAAAGCGCAAGTATAGTAAAAAACTCAATGATATCTAAGAATGAAATGATTAAGATTAATAATAACATTACTCAAGAAATTCATACTTTATTAATCCTTGATCATCAACCTAGCTTTGAATCCAAAACTAATAGAATATAAGAAACTCATAGTGATGATAATTTTAATCAAGATGAGATGAAAGAGGTTTCTTTATAGGTCTCTGAATAGAGTCTCTAATCCTAGGATAGCAATGAAGATCATTTTGTTGAAAATTTAACAGACTATCAAGAAAAATTATCACTTTAAGATATAGAAGAAAATTAAAATTAGCTCTATAATCACTGATATAGTTTTATCAACCAATAATTAGGTTTAAAAGATTTTGATAAAAGAGATATTTCCACAACTCTATATTATTAAGATATATTTGCAAGATAAATTTCTAAAGCAAAAAGAATATAAAAATATAATTTCATCTTAATTTCATAAATCCTGCAACATGGGGTTTTGGGGTTTTGGGG